GCTGTTCATTAGAAGTAACCTAAATATATCCATTCCTGATTCTTGAGACTTACCCCAGTCCTGATGAATTACAGTTAGTGTAGATGGAGGACAAAAATCTATATTTTATGAAAGTCACATCAGATGACTTTAACATACATCCATCTTGGTTGAGAACTCCTGAAAAGCTACTCTTGTGTTTCAAGAGTTATCTGCCTCAGATGAAGCAGGTCTAGTAGAGTAAAGCTAAAAGGAATATATGCTGACAGAGAGCCTTTGTCAATACTTAGTGACAACGACAGATGGCACTGGTGACGTCAAAAGTGATGTCATGGGTTAGGATAGAGGATGCCAGAGACTTTTGCTCCCTTAATAATACCAAAAATGGATAAAATAAAAATCATTTGCCTACAGAGTTCTCCAGGAGCAAAGATTGAAGGAAGATTGCTAAACTGAACTCCAGAGAAGGACAAGCACTTCGCAGTGAACTGGACATTGCAGAAGAAAAAAATAGAGAGCTGGAAGATAAATCCATAAGAATTATCCAAATTGAACCATAGAGGAGAAAAATAGGTAAAAAGGAGAATACATTCAGTGATACGTGACCAATAAAATACAGCTTAACATTTGTACACTTAGAAATCAAAAAGAAAATAAATAGGACAGAAAAAGATTAATAAACACACAAATATTTCCAAATTTGATGAAAAATTTCAATCTGCAGATCCCAGATGCACAACAAATATCAAACGGTATAGACACAGAAAACCACTCCTAGACCAATATAACCAAACTGAAAGCCAAAGAGAAAGAAAAACTTAAAAGTAACTAGAGGAGAAAAATTTACACAGAGAGAAAAATCCAGAAAGATAATGTCTCTTCTCATTAGAATCAAGGAACTGACAGTACTCAAAGAAAAATACTCTATTAACCCAGAATTTTCATTGGCAATTCATTGGCAATTTCATTGGCAAAGAAAGACAAAAGTGGAGAGAAGAGAAAGAAAAGGAAAAAAGAGAGGAAAGATAAAAGACTTTCTCAAAAAAACAAGTGGGAGTCATTCCTAAGAGATCTATAAGAAATGTTAAAAGTTAAAAAGTAATGTTGAAAGGGGGGAAAATATATATATATATATAATATATATATATATACATATAGTTAGAGAATTGGCTCACACAAAGAAATTAACAGAGTCAGAAAGAGAAGATAGAAGTAAAATAAAATTTCATTTTCCTTGGTTTAATAGCTTTAAAGCACAGCTATTTAAAAGAAAAAGCAGTAGTAACATACTGTGTGTTTATAGCATATTTAAAAGTAACAATATGCTATGTGATCACAGTAGCATAAAGAATGAGAGGGAGGAAGTGGGAAAACACTGCTCAAGGTCCTTACACTAGATGGGAGCTAGTATCATCTCTGATTAATTAAAGATGTACATTGCGAGTCCTGAGTTAACAATTACATTTTTTCTAAAAGTATAAATAACACATCAATTAAAATGATACAATGGAATAATAAGCAATGTTCCACTCACCCAAGAGCAGGCAGAAAACTGGGAAACAGAAACAAACAGATGGAAAAACATAAAAATCTTATAGTATGACAGACTTTAATCCAAACATATCAATCATCACTTTAAGTGCAATTAGTCTAAACACACTGGTTAAAAGTCAGACTGGCAAACTGGATTAAAAAACGCAAGATCCAATTATAAGCTTTTAATAAGAAACTCACTTTAAAGTAGATTAAAAGTATGAAGAAACATACCACAAAAATATTAATAAAGAAAAGATCTCTGGAATAGCTATATTAATATAACAAAACAGGTCTCAGGACAAGGAATATTTTCAGAGGTAGAGAGAAAAATTATATAATGACAATATAGTCAATTCTCCAAAAAGGAATAATAGTCCTATCTGTATATGCACCAAATTGTTTTTAAAAACAACCTTCAAAATACTTGAAGCAAAATCTGGTAATACTAAAAGGAAAAACAGACAAATTCATAATTATAAAACTAATAATTTAGTTTTATAGTTGGAAATGTCAACTTTTTTCTTAGTCACTGGTAGAAGTAAGGAGAAAATTAATAAGGGTATACATATGATCTCCACAGTGAATTAACCAATTTGGCCTATTTTACCTTATAAAATTTTCCTCTTAACCACAGTGGAATGCACATTCTTCACAAGTGTATATAGGGTAACATGCCTGTACACACACGTATGCGCACGCACACACACACACGAACAGTGGGACATAAATTTCAAAGACTAGAAGTCATAATAAGGAAGTTTTTGGACCAGGACCATACTGCTAATTAACCCATGGGCCAAGGGGGAAGTCTCAAAAAATTTTTTTAACTATTTTTAACTAAATGAAAACATATCAAAACCAGAAGGATGTAGCTGCAATACTTAGAGGGTATTTTTAGTATTAAATGATTATGTTAGCCAAGAAGACCTCAATGCAGTAATCTAACTTTTCACCTTAAGAGACAAGGAGCAAAAGCACAAATAAAATTAAAGCAAGCACAAGTAAATTTGCAACCATGAAGTAAATATTAATTACATTTAAAACAGAAACATAATAGGGAGTCAATCACATAAAATATTGGCTACCTTATATAATTGATATACTTCTATCTGATGAGAGAATACAAAATATCAGCAAAGAATGATCTCACAGACATTGAGAAATGCATAGATAGCCAACACTATGGCCTTAAACTGACAATTAGATGAAATAGATAAAATAATCACTCAAGAGTAAGTGCTTAACAAATCAAAAAGGAATGAGACTAGTCAAACACTTCTGAAAAGAACAAAGTTGGAGAACTCGCACTACCCATTTTCAAACCTAATCATTTTTTTGACAAATTCTACTGTCAATATTCATCATCCATGATAAACATGCTTAGCCAGTCAGAAGTAGAAGAGTGACTCTTCAATCTAATAAAAGCCATTTTAAAAACCCTCCAGCAAACATGAAATAGTTAATGATGAAGAGTGAATGCTTTCTCCCTAGTAATAGCAAGAAGATACAGTTAGTTGCCCACTCTCACCTCAGACATTTGGTATTGTAGTGGAAGTGGTAGCCATTCCAATAAAGCAAGAAAAAATTAAAAAGCATAAACTCTATTTATTCATATGTAATATAATGTGCACTCGAGCTTAAATGTCACATGGTTTCTCTTACATGAGAAACTCAAGTTACAAATAAAGAGCAAAATAAAAGCCAACAGGAAACAGGGAGACAGAGCTTTCTCAAATGGGAAGGGGACTGAGAGACAGAGGAAAGAGGAGGAGAGGGTGGAAAGGGATGGAGAAAAGAATTGAGATGTGCTAAGTGCACGAATGAATGAACACACAAAGCATGTAAAAATCATATACTTCAAACATGTACTAATAAACAGATAGATAATAGAAAAAAGGGAGATAGATCTTTTGCAAAAGGGAAGGATGCCAAGAGATGGAGAGAGATGTAAGGTGGGAGGGGAAGGCAATTGAAAAAAAGGAATTAAAATGTGTTGTGTACATGTACCAACTCTCTATGAGGAACGTAATCATTCTGTACTGTACCACAAACATGTGCAGTACTAATTTTAAAAAACTAAAAAAAAAAAATTCTAAAGAGTCTACAAAGAAACTACTAAGTCTAAAAAGTGAATTTAGTGAGAAGACAGATTACAAAGTCAATATACAAAAATTGATTGTGCTACCAACAATTGAGTGGAAATGTCCCTAGTGGGAGAATAGATAAATTGTGGTTTGCTCACTTAACATTCCTGCTCAGTAATAAAAACAAATTAACAAACTATGCACAACATTAAGGAACATCAAGACATGTTGAAGGAAATAAACTGTACTGAAAACATACAGTATGATTCCACTTACATGAAGTTCAAGAGCAAAGCCAAGCACTGGGAATGGAACTGCTTATCTCTGCTAGAGTGGTGAGGTGGCAACAGGCAGTGAGGGGATTTGAGGAACTTTCCAGGGTGATGGAAATGTTTCCTATTCATTTGAAGTGTTTGTTATACAAATATATGTTTGTTAAAACTCACTGAACTATGCACTAAAATCTGTGCATTTTACTGTGTGCAAATTAAAGCTCAAAAACATCCAAAGACATTAACAGTTTAAGTATCAGATGTTGGATAGAAGTGACTTCATTTTTTTCCAGGGAGCTTGGACACATCTTTAGGTTGTTACCTGACACTCAGTCTGTAGCATTCACCACTGGTGCATCCCAGAAGCCTCTCATTCCATTCCCCAGCCTTGTGGGTATTTGGAGCACAGGGCACCCCAACCCTTCTTAGATGGGCACAAGGGGCTGGCGACCCACAAGTCAATAGCACACTGGATATGGAGGGGTCTCTCTGATGACCACCTGCTTATGGTCACTAACTCATCAATGTATAAAATTTCAAACACAAGTCAACCCTAACGTATTTAGAACTCGATTGCTGGAGTTGACGCTAGGAAGCAGAATTACATATGAAGAGCCCAAAGTTTGGATTTCCATTTCCAGTCTACCTGATCCTGAGCCCTAAGCTTCTTATCTTTAGAATGCTAGGGTGATAACGGCTGAGAGCCTAAAATAACTGTGAATTTCCATTCATGGTATTTATGGTATGGTATTTATGGTATTGCTGCTGCTTTTTTATTCAGCACCCTACTTCTTCCCCCTACCCACATATACACACACATCTTGACCTACTTTTCAATAGTGACTGTCGTTGAGAACCTTTACCAGAAAGCAGATAATACTTCAACTGTTCAAGTCTGTTACTTTTGGCAACTAGTAAAACACTAGTTGAAAAGAGCATTTTTGAAACTCCTTGAATTCTCTATGGATTCCATTCATCTGTAGAATCAGAGTTGGGATCTCACATTTCATCTGAACATCAGATTTTAAACACAGGCCTTTTCCTGTTCACAGGTTAGACAATGAGCCTTCTGCCAGCCCTTCCTTTCAGGCCTTGATAATTCCAGAGAACCAACCCAAAGCCCTCTCACCTGCCCGTGAAGCCATGGCAATGTTGTAGCCAGGTGAGGCATCAGCTGCAGCGTCTGTGTTTGGTGCTCCATGATCTTCACCTCTTCCTTGGCTTTGGGTCCAAACTGCCTCCAGCTGGAAAGAGTCAACAGCTGTGATTTGCGCCAAAATACAGTAGGCAACTTCATTTCTACAGCCAAAAGTACTCCCAGCCAGCCATTTGCCTTTGAAATACTTCAGCATTCAGGAATTTTGGTTTCTAAAACTGTGGTTAGGTCAATAAGGCATCCTCAGATTCTGAAGAAAGACCACTAGAAAACTCTTTAGCTCTTTTCGAAGCTAACCCTCTTGCCATGGAATGTTTTTCAAGAAACATATGTATCTAATACAAAGTAATTTTTACTCCTTAACATTTGCATGACATTTTATAGTTCCCAGCGCCCTGTGATCATTAATTATTCAGCTTTACTAGGCTAGAGACATAATTAATAGGACAGGAGCCATAGCCTAGGACATATTTCAAAAGGACATTCTCAACAAGGAGGGCAATGTTAACCCCAGTGCTCCTGCCGGCTTCACAGGTGGGTCATTACTCTCAGCGCACCCGAGCCCCCCTGAAGTTCTGCTTGGAAAAGGTGTTCTCCACACCTTGCCTTGCATCACATGCCTGGCATAGAGCAGCTGCACCATGAGCTGAGGCAGCCGTGTCAGGAGAACAAGCTTCCCACAGAGCAACGTGGAAGGTGGCGTAGGATTGTCTCCACAGGCAAGATCCACGGACAAACTCTGCAGAATCCCAAAGCTGCCAACTTCAAAGAGCCAAGGATTGACCTGGAGGTCGCCCTCTGCCCTGTGCAGGCTGATTTTCTACAATCCTGGACTTAGCAGAAGGCTTTCTTTGAGCAGCTCTGAGCTTAATGTTGATTTCTTAAAGCACAGGATTTTATACAAATATGTGTGTGCACATGCACACATGCATGGACAAACACAAACACAGTGTGTTATGGTTTGTGTCTGGATGTCCCCCCAAAGCCTCGTGCAGTCATGGGATGGGCTTCTAGAGTTTATGATTGATTCATCATTCAATGCTGGGATTATGGGTGTGAGTGCTACACTCGCCCTGGGATGGGTAGCTTGCATAGAATGTGAGGGAGGGAAAGAGGCTCGTTCTCCACAGCTACTCCCTTTTTGCTCTTGCTGCTTTTGCCCTTTTGTGCCGCCATGAACTGTTGCCCTCTGCCATGTGCCATTCTGCTTTGGAGCCAGCTGAATACAGCCTGAAACCTCCACAAACTGTGAGCTAAATAAACCTTTCCTTCCTTAATTCTGGGTGTCGGGTATTTTGTCCCAGCAAGGAGAGAAAAGTAACCAAGACACAGTGCTACACTGTCAAACACTCAGGGCAAACATGCTGCAGACACCAGCGGGCTGAAGGTATCTATCAATCACGCAGAGAGAGGGAAGAGCAATTTAGAAAGAAAAAAAACTTTTATGTTTCATAGACTTTCTTAATCATAATTTTATATCTTAAAATTATTTGTCTTTATGTGTAACCAAAAGAGAGACACTCCCATCTTTTCTAGTCTTCTTAGTGTAACAGGCATCTAGCAGTCACGACCTGGTCTGTCCTATGAGAGGGCAGTGGGTAACGTGACAAACACTAGGCAATCAGAGAGCAGCCCCTTGGAAATACTGCAAGCTCAGGATTGTTTGTGAAGAGCACAGACTTCCTCCAGGCTCGGTCTAACCACAGGGTCATCCCTAGAGCACTGCCCACCCTGTCCTTGGTCCACGCCCTTTTCTCTCCCTGCACAGAGCCCACCATAGCACACCTCCAAATGAGAGCCCATCTGTGAGGGCTCTGGGTCATGATTCTCTCCCCATCAAAAAAGAATCACAGGTCCAACAGTGGTGTCCTCATGTTAGGTTATTGCTATGGACTAAATTGTGCCCTTACAAAATTCCTATGTTGAATCTCTAACCCTCAAGTGACTACTTGGAGATAGGGCTTTTAGGAGGTAATTACGGTGAAATGAAGTCATAAGGGTGGGGTGCTGATCCAATAAGATTGGAGACCTTGTGAGATGAAGAGATCTCCCTCTCTCTTCCCCTCTCCCCTGCCCCATGAACTGAGGAAAGAGCATGTGAATGCACAGCAGGAATGGCCATCTGCAAGCCAGGAAGGAAAACCTAAGACACTACCTCCGCCAGCACCTTGATCGTGGACTTCCAGCCACCCAAACTGTGAGAAATAAACATCTATTGTTTAAACAACCCAGTATATGGTCTTTCCTGAAAGCACCTTGGCTGCAGTAATGTAGTCACTTGACAAACTCTATGTGTTCCCACTCCCTTTTCATTTTTAAATGCTGTGATCATGCTGTAGCTTTATTTATGATCATTGTTGTTAAAACTTCATCAAAACCAGACTTGACCACACACAACTCACTCCTCTGGGGGGCATTTTGTGTCTGTTCTGTACCCAGCACCTCACTACGACCTGGGTATCCGCCAGGGTCAAGATCCCACATCCCAGCCACTGAAGTCATGAAGACCACAGCAAGGCAGCATGGTGGACATTAAAAGCTTTGAACATGGCATGATCTCCCAGCCACCATCAACCACCATTATTTCATTATGTGTTGCCAGAATATCATTTTAGGGCACTCTGGTCTCAAAGACAGCAAAAGTGACTGATTGCAACACCTTTTAGTTTTTGATTTGCCGAAAAACCATTACAACCCTACAATTCTGAACAGCACCTCATCAAATTTTCTGTTCTGTGTGTGAAGTCTCAGCATAGCACACAGCAGATACTCCATATTGAATGAATGAAAAAAGGAATGAGTTTCATAAACAAAGAAATGCAGATGAAGCATGGTAGGGTGGCCCACTCAAATCCCCAGGGAAGGTGTCTTAGTTACTTTTCCCTCAGTGCTGAGACAAAATACCCAACACCCACAAGTCAAAGGAGGGAAGATTTATTTAGCTCACAGTGTGTAGAGGGTTCAGTCCATAATTAGGTGGCTCTAAGGCAGGGTGGCACATGGCAGAGAGACAATAGTTCATGGCAGGGGCTGGGGATTTAGCTCAGCGGCAAAAGTGCCTTCCTGGCAAGCGCAAGGTCGTGAGTTCGGTTCCCGGTACCGGAGAAAAACCAAAAAAAAAAAAAAAAAGTTCATGGCAGTAGAAGACAGCAAAAGCAACAAGTGAGAGAGACAAGTCTCTTTCTGTCCCTTATATTATATCCAGTCTACTGGGATTAGGGTGGTGCCAATCCAATCAGTGAACTGATCAAGCAATCAACCACCTTTAATCCCAGCATTGCACTATGAATCAATCATATGCTCTAGATTCAGCCACCTCTGAAAAAATCCTATGGCCACATGAGGCTTTGGGGGAACATCTAGACACAAACCATAACAGAGGTCTTTGGCTGCCAGATCTAGCCCCATCAGTTCTGCCTCAGTTTCCCAAGGTAGGCACACCTTATCACGATCCCACTACCTCTTTGACCCTCACAGTTCAACTGGAACGGCAGATGTAGAACAGAAAGAGACCACTGAAAATCCATGTAGCAGGTCTCTGAGTGTCTATTATCGCTTGGACAGGGAGGAGGTTAGCTAATTCATTGCTGAATTACCGGGCAATCTCACAAAAAATCAGATTTTATGAGAGCTTGAACATCTACTCTCAATTAAAAAACATGAAGATCTAGAAACTCTGGATCCCACTCCCAAGATGTGATTCGCTGGACCTCAGAGCCACCGACCATTTTGGTCCAGACCTGGCTGCTCTCCATGGTCCCCCAAACCCTGTCTACCCACTGACATTATCTGCTGGTGCAAGAGGTAGTTTCTAACCCCTGCTACAGTGATTTTATTTTTTTCATCCAGAATGACTTGTTTTAGCATCCTGACCAGTTAAGTATGCGTTGTGACTATGGTACAGAGCCAAGCATAGACATTCTAGATGAGCCCCTGAGTTTACTAGGTGAGCAAATAGCTCACACAGTAAACAAAATCCGGATGCCTCAGCCTGGCAGTCAAGAGCCCACACGGTCTTACCCGAGTGCTCCAAGTGTTTTTCCTGCTAAGCCCCTTCACAGGCTTTTCCCATCCCAGGCTTTGATCAAGGCAGGGCTCTCTGCCCTTGCTGGCCTCCACCCATCTCCCACACATCTGGGTGGACTCATTTTGGGTAGCTCAGCCACGTGCCCTTTTCTTGCATTGAGATTTTTCTGTTTCTCCTAGCTCCTTGTCATGCCCCTTAGACACCAAACAAAACTGCACCCATGGGAGCAGAGAGCCCCTTCTGCTCAGGAAGCCCCGAGTGTTCCATCTGTGACTCCACCCAGGGTCCAGAGCCTCTCCTGGCCAGGCTGGCCCCTTGTGCGCCTGTACTAACCATGCCCTGGTGACTTAGACACTTGGGGCCTGGCTGATCCTGGAAGGCCGACCCCTCCCAGGGACAGCTTATTCTTAAAGATAGCAAATGACACTCCTCTGACTGTTCTTTCAAATGCAAACTAACCAATCCAGCACCCCGCATCTCCTTCATAAAACTCTCACACTGCAGACCATGACTGCCCTGCTCCAATCACCAGGCCAGGTGCCAAACCACTGAAGACAGCCTCCAGGCCTCAGCGCTACCCAAACTGGCCAGTGTTAACCTGCTTAGCCTGCTTACCCTGCCTCACCCTTGCCCTTGCTCCTTCTGCCCCCCAAGTAACCATGGTGCATGGTTAGTTGCATGCCCCCTCCTCTTAGGAACCATGAGTTATGCGACCTTTCCTCTGGCTGTAGTCTCTTGATCTGTTGGCCTTACCAGACCTGAATAATAATACAACCTGCTGGCAGCGTGCCTGCTCATTTCCATGTGCCACAGTCTGGCCTGGCGTAAGCACTTGGGAGACACAGAGGGCAGGAGGACAGACTGAATATCCTGTCATGTCAGCTCCAAACCCAAACCCTCCATGCACCCACCCCAACTTCTCCCCGGAAGGTTTGCTTATTAGTAATTGTTCTGGAAGAAAAAACCCTTCGGATATGAAGTGCTGGCTAGAAAATGGTGGGCAGTTAGCACAGGGATGGACAAAGAAAATGAGAGGGCAGAAGAGAAAGGAACCAACCTCC